TGTTCAATCACACTGTTAAACTAAGTTGGCCGAAAAATTACAACATACACTAACTATTCTCTAGGTACGAGCTGTCGGACTTGTGAATTTCTCATCTGAATGTAACTTTCAAAACTGCCTGTATGAGACGATGATTTCGAGGCAATAGGTTCTCAGGATTTACTTTTAAAAAAATTGAATTCAGTAAAGAAATTCTGTTTTTGACGACTTCATTTTCATAGCTGTACAATTGTGTGTGTGTGTGTCTGTTACAGTTTGACACTGACTGGAAATACTAAAGTACGATAATATTGGTGTATCGAATTATGAGTCACAATGGACTAGATTTATAAATGAATGAATAAATAAAGGCCAACCTAAAGTTCAATAGACATGTGCAAAATAGATGATCGGAAAATAAAGTACATTCAGAAATGTGAATATGTGCCGATGATTCCCAAACTAGGATGAAACAGCAGCTGTCCAGTACTCCCTGGTTTTCAATGGTTCTCTAACTGATATCAGTCCGTGATCAACTCATAAAACATAACTAATCCTTACAAACTAAAACTATAGAAAATTATTCTGATGCTCGCTAGTGACTTGCTACAGGTTGGAGCTTCCTGTAGTTCTAGTGAGAAGTCGTGACCAGTGAGGTGCAATTAGAAGTCACGTGTGTGGATGGATGTCCCACCAACGACAATAGTTGGGGTCGCGCTAAAATCACGAATTGGTAGAAGTTAGAATTCATGGGCTGGCCATTGAATCGGGTCCCAGTGGCTGAATGGTATACGAGCTTGCCTTGTAACCGGAAGGTCCTGGGTTCGAATCCCAGTGGGTGCGTACTTCCGATGATTCCCAAACTAGGATGAAACAGCAGCTGTCCAGTACTCCCTGGTTTTCAATGGTTCTCTAACTGATATCAGTCCGTGATCAACTCGTAGAATATAATATTATGAAAAAATAGGATGAATGAAATGTTGTCAAAATAATAGACTAGATAGAATGTTAGAATATGATAACATAAAGTGAAATGAAATAAAAGTCAATCTGAACGCAGAATATTCTTTTCAATAATTTCTCTTCATGTTCTTACAATTATAAAATATAATATTTGCTGTCGTTACAATAATAGCCAGTTATGCCGCGGATACATTTTTTACGTAGAATAACAGATTAGTTATGGATGAGTGAGTGGGAACATTATCACTCACTACAGAATGCAGGTACATCTAGATAGCGAGTCCCAAATGGGACGAAATGCGCATCCTGGATTCCATCCACCACTTAACTTCTAGGATGGTAAGTTTTTAACTTAGAAGATATCAGTCACCAGAAATCCGCTGGTCACACTTAGTAATTACATTCATATCCCGTTCAATTAAAACCTAACCAACTCGCCTTTGCAAAACGTAATATGTGGATTCTTCTTACTAAAGTTTCCTTATTACTCCATGTCTTTAGGCTTATTCACTTAATGGGAAATCTGTAGTCCAGCTTCCGAGATCAGGCTTAATCAACTTTATATTAACTAAATAAACACCTAACCGATCTACTGATGATTTAGGTGCTTCAAGTTTTGTTTCAATGACTATTCACTCGACCAGACTTTGACGCCAGTTTGCGCTCCTCCTTTGTTCTGGTAACTCGCACATCCTCAGAGTCTGTAATCCAGCCATACTATCCAGACACATTCTAAAATCTGTACCCTAAATAACGTTAGTATTTTATTCCATTTAGATGTGTTGCTCATCAGAGAGCATCTCCGAATAACGGAGACTTTTTTATTTGTGTTTGTTATCAGTACTGACAAGCCAGTTGGTGTACTATTCACATGGATAATCAGGTATAGTGTATTTAGTAAGGGTGGTATGGTATACTATATCAATAAAAAAGCCAGTACCTAACAAATCATGAGCTACCAGATAAGATTTATATTTATCATTCAATATTTTCTGAAATATGTCAGTATATCAGTTTTGTAAATATGTATGTTTAAAGGATATCTATATTCCAATAAACACACTATATCTATACAACATTAACACTCCTTAACCGTGATGGTTGTTCATTAATGCAGTAGACATTGTTCTATTGTCTAATAACCTGTAGGTCAATCTTCTGATTTCAACTAACTGACGATTTTGACGAATAAGTAATACTGGCTTATTATCATATTCATATCTTAGTAAATTTATGTATTAATTTTTCACACATAGAAAAATATAATGCTTAGGTGTCCACTAAGAGACCTTTCACCTCCTCATAAGCAAGTATTTTTTTCTACTTGTGCTTGCCCCAAAAGTGAGTGACTTACAATTTTCAGCAGTCCTGTATAATGTCTCACTTTATAGTCAGTCAAATTTTCTAAATTAGCATTAATGTCTTTTCAAAGGAAGCTGACAACAATATGATTTCAGCAAATGAGAGTGTTATTAGAATAGATGTACCTAAAATCGGTTTACAAAACATCAGGTTACTCACTAACTTGCATCACAGCTAATCTAAAACTTTATTCACTGACTTAAAATTAAGATCTGATTGATATATTTCAGTTTCATAATTTAGTCATTATAAACTGAGAGTGGAAAATCTAAAAAATGTACACTTTGAATTACCCCCTGCTTAAACATTCATCTTTCATTTTCAATCATCAGTTCTTTTGAAATTCTTACACATTTATTATAGAATTTCTCTAGGGAATTCAGTGAAAAATAGAGTAAAAGCCGCTCGTTCTCAAATAATAATAATAATATCTTTATTCTGGACAGTATTTATAGAATGTACGGAATTTTCAGAGGAGTTTATTGCATAATATTTTCCCTTCTTACAATATCTTCAAGTAAAATATTAACTGACAGTATAATCTGTGACATAATGTTCTCTTCGCTGAATCACAAACCATTCTATTATGATATTTCTCCTTTGTCTCCGAGAAATCCACGATATCTAGTTGAAAGCCAAATGTGAGGTGCTTAGAAATACATTTTGAGACCCAAGAACATAACTGAAGAACAGTTATCTCATGTATTGCCACACGTTACCATTCACAACGGCACCTCTTCTCAAGTTTAGTAGGAACTTGCTAACCAGAAGCTTGCAAACATGTTAAATACACACAAGAGTAGATAATATCATAGGACGTCATATTTTAATCGATTAAAACAAACCGAACGAGTGAAAATATAATGCAAGGGAGAGATGGAAGTATTTGGTATCCCAAGTTTTAAACAGGCCGCCATCCGAGTGAATTTCTGCCAAACAGAAAACTAATTTTTACAGTTGGGTGCCTATTTCCAGGAAAAGGAACTTAATTCATTCGCTCTGCTCTAGGATAAGGAAAATTTATAGTTCTGATTCCGTTGACTCGGAACTTGACTTCTTAAAAGCCACTCTTGAAGAAAACGGTTACCCTAACCGATTTATTGACAGCAACATGAAAAATAAGCAGTCTAAACTGGTCACCGACACAGTTCCAAAGATAACCTTATTCATGAACTTGGAATTCAAAGGTGATTAAGCTTCAGATATGCTCAAAAACTGTCTCTCTAAATCAGTCAGTAAGGCGTTCTATGCAGCAAAATTACATATGACGTTCACCAACCGAAAGTTGTTCTCTACCTCTGTAAAAGATAAGCTCCCACGTCTGGCCGCCTCCATGTGCATCTATCAGTTCACCTGCTCTTGTGGAGCAAGGTACATTGGCCGTAGTCAGAGGACGCTTTCCACACGGATACGAGAACATATTCCAGCTGCATGGTTTTACAAGGGAGAAAGGAAGTGTGTGCGAAGCTCTATTTTGGAACACCTGATCGACTTCTGTCCCTCTGTCAACCCTGACCATGATTTCAAGATAATATATAGAATCCGTGCTAACTTTCCGCGTTTTCTTCGTTACAGACTTCTAAAGACAGCTGAGGCCTTGGCAGTTCATGACTTTAAGCCAGACCTTTGTGTACAAAAGAAGTATGTACAATCCCTACTTCTGCCTTGGCCGTAGAGGGATAGATATTTATTTATTTACGTATTTTGTTCATTTAGTTATTCTATGTACTTTTCCCTTATTACTATGATTATTATTATTATCTTTATTAATATTACTATTCTCACTCCGAATCTTTTCCACTTGACCCACTTGACATTTTAAACCCAAAATTATTAATTTTTATATTTTTATTTTTTACAATATTGAATTCTATCTTATCACATTTCACACCATGTTATGTAACATTTTATATTCGTCTGCTAATCTTATAATTATGTACCCCTTTCCAAAATCTATACACCTTATGTATTATTCTATTATTATTATTCTTTCTTATTATTATTGTATTATTCTATTATTATTATTATTCTATCCTATTCTTTCTTATTATTATTCTATATACGACATTAATTATTTTGCCACTTGACATTAAACTATGATTATAATCAATCACAAATATCTTAATTGGATTGCATACTACTATTATTTCATGTATTCATACCTTTGACCTAATTCCCTCACCGGATATAATTTCTTAGAAAAAAACCATATATATACTACTGTACAGCCTGATAATAAATTCGTTGAAAAGAGTCTCTTCGCTGAATATTATGTTCTTAAAACAGAAAAGTACCCAATATTTATTAATTATAATCTAAATAAATGAGTGGGACCTGGTGTTCAAACACTGATGTTATAAATAACTAGACTGGGTAGGTGGTTTTACTTTTCACCATGTTTACCTCCGATATCAGTTTACTCTTTCGCCCACGTAAATTTACAAATAGGTTAAACATTTTATTCACAGCAACTCAAGTATTTTCAGTGATTCACCGAGACCTGAAATATCTTCAGTCGATATGATGTCAAATATTTTACATTAAGTAAAAGTAATTTCACTTGTACTTTTCGTTTATACGCATACAATTAATTATTATTTGTTAGGTCTTTAAAATTTGAATCACAAAATTGGATTTTTTTTAATTTTGTAAGCATTTGCATAAAATTATGCTTGTATTTTTCTTCTGTTATTCAGTAAGAAAAAGATTTCCACATAATTCATTGGAACAATCTGAATTAAATGCAAAAGTCAGGAATCTTTTGTCGATATTCTGGAATTTGAATCCCTCCGTACAAAACGATAGACGACATGACCAACACGCACAAAATGATGTTGCAGCCAGAGTTAAAGCAAGATATACGAAACAGGATATAAATCAGATTACAGGTAATTCAATTGGATGAATTTCTGTATGCAGTTTTCTGATGTAATTACAATTTAATTTTTAACTGGTATCCTGCTTGAATTACTGGTCTATCTGAATTTCCATCCTGCAAAATGCACCATATTCTTTCTAATTCTTATTGTTTTAACTATTCAATTATGTTTTTGAGTGGCGAAATGTATTCATGCACATTTTTTGATTGACTTTCAAAATGCCGGTTCACATTTCTTGAAGGTAAAGAGAAGAATGTCAAAAGGGATTAGTCTATGCTTCAAGTAGAATGGCATTGTGTTACATAATATGCTGTAGATTGCCATTTTACGTGATGATCCTGGATGAAGAAGAAATTATATGAAAAAATTACCCTGAGAATTCTGTACATTTTGTAAACACTGGAATTCTCGAACCTGGGTTTCATGCCTATTGATACTCGTCAGCAAGGCATATCTGCATTCTTGAAGGAACACATATCCCTTCTGGTATTAGAACCTGGGACGCCCAGTACTTTACCTAGAGATGTCACCGCTGAGTTATCCGGGCTCACGACGTACCTCCTATATGACTGCAGTGGGTACTCTGATTGAACACTAGGTAGAAATTAATGTCATGTGTCTAGTTCTTTATCGGGTGTAGACTGCATTTTGCAAGTCAAGTTTGCAGTGTGGCTAGCCATCCCATGTACAGCGATTCCTTATTTCCATTTAGTTCTGATGGATTATAACCGAAACTGATATGGTGTGATTTATATCTACGTGCAATTATGCATTGCTCAACTACATAACTGCTGGTCAAAACCTTCCTGTGAACATCTGAGTCTTATACTTCAGTTGATCAACCAACAAACTGATAATCAAGAGATCTCTGATTCGAATAATAATCGAACACATTTTTATTTCCTACTTCAATAATCACTCAATGTACAAATATCAATCCATTAAACTATAACAATCTCAGGTAGTCTGCATATTAAGTTGTTCTCAGTTTAGGTTTACTGATTGTTGAAATGATTAATTTAAGTGTCCCTGAGATCTAGAAGAAGCTCATGTCATAGCTTTATGACTTCATAAAGAAAACTTTAAGCTCAGACACAAACTTTACAGTTTATCCAAACCATGAATTTGTCTGTGAACCTTAAATCATTCATCTGATACAATGACAGAGTTCAGTATGGGTGATGCATCGATGGAATATACTAAGTATTGTGTGAAATTTAATAGCATAGAATTTAATGTTGTAAAAAGGAATTGATTTAGAATGACAAGTGGAACAAGTGAAATAATACCGGGGACAGTTAAAAGTGAGAGTAGTAGTAGTAACAATTGACGTAATGAGGAAGAGTATACAAACTGAACAGACAAAAATGAAAAGATGAAAAAATTGGTAGAGCTAAAATATGATTGGGGATTACCATACTCTAGCATAGAGGGATTAAGACCATGAAAGTTAGAGGAGTTGAAAGAACTTTTTCTGTACACAGAGATCTGGCTTTTCTGTTTCGATAGACAAAGCTTCGGCAATACAGATGAGTCGGGTACGTAAGGATTTAGGTAAATTACTCTTTGCCTTGTAGATGACATTAAAGGCGGGGGCTATAGAGATAAGGTGATCATAATCGACCAGATGTTCAATGATCGCGCTTCTTATTGCTCCAATTCCACCTTTTCGTAACCATGCAGGACAGTGTTCTTGCACCCTCTTGGACAAAACTCGAGTCGAACGACCGATATACCTAGCTCCACACGAGCAGGTGAATTGATAAACACACGTAGAGTTGGTCATCAGCGGGATCTTGTCCTTCAGGTTATTGAACAATAATGGTCGACTAGTAAAGGCTATTCTCAGAGATCCAGCGGGGAATGTTCTTTTCTGGGACTGTGATATCCTTCGTTTCATGATATCGGAAGCTGAGTCCCCTTTGAATTCCAAGCTCATGTAAAGTATTTTCTTGGGTACGGTTGATAAGTCACGCTTTTTAGGATTTCAATGTATATTCTTATCTATAAAACGTGTGGGAAATCCATTTTCGATTAGGATTTTCCTCAATATGTATAACTCATCTTCCACAGTATCACCGCTACATATGCGCCGAATATGAGTGGCAAGCGATCGGATCAGGTTTCGTTTTCGACCAATGGGTACCCAGCTGTAGAAATTTGTCAGTTGACCATTCCATGACAGCTTACGATAAATCGATGTCTTCAGAGTTCCATCGGTCCTCCTTGATAAGTTCACATCGAGAAAATGAATGCTAGACTCGTTCTCCATTTCAAGTGTGAATTTTATCGCCGGATGGCAACCATTAAATACAGTTAATATATTATTCAAGTTACAATCCCTATTACAAATAATAAAGGTGTCATCTACATACCTTTCATACTACTACTAAGTAGTCAATTAGTGTGCAATAAAATGTTCATCATAACTCTTCTATCCTCTGGTTATAATAATGCATAAATAAAGTGCTGAATCAACTGTTTATATATATATAAATATATATATTAAAATCTTGTTTTATTAGCGTTTACAACAAGTTATCTTCTTCCTTCGTTGAAACATTTCATCAAAAATACAAGGAGAGCAAAATCTTTTTGTTAATAGAAAATTAAAACATTAAAAACATCTTGTGCTTTAAATCAAACAAGTGTGTTTATAATGATAAAATCTTAATGGAAAAACTTTTTTCCTTCTGCTTCTTCTTCTAAAACAATCTAATAACTTTTGAATTCTATCTACTATGTAACAACATTTCAATTTTACACACTATTTAATATTTTATCGAAGCGATCTTTTGAGGAGAAGGAGAAAAAAATAAGCAAGTATGAAAGAAACAACACACAAATCAACAGTAGGCCTTTAAAGTTACTATCAAGATGAGCACAAGGCAAGAAAACTTAAAACAGGAAGCTGTTAGATAAATTTTATTCCACCTCTTCAGTTGTAAAAATTATTCAAAATAATTTGAGAGTTGTATAACCTGATTGTGTGATATGTCAACTGTCATGGTTTATACGTGGTCAGATAAATATGTTATTGTGTTTAGATTTTTCTGAAATTCTCAGTAACATTTTCAATATGGTGGATAACTGATGGACTAGACTGTCATGTTTTATTTAACTGCTGTCGTGTAGATATTCTCAAAATACTTTGTCTGAGATTTTATCATTTTTAATGAAAATAATTATCCTCATATTCTGATAAAATTTTGGTTAGTATGTAGTAACTTCAGAATAACAAAATGAATCAAGAAAGACCATTTGAACAAATCCAACCTAAAATATTCAGTTCACATTTAAACCAAGGTGAAGAAAAGTTATCTGTTCTGATAACAAAATGCTCTACACTTCATAAAGTTGTAGCTTTGCAATTCACCTGCTGTAATTAGTCTCTGCAGTTCACGATTTATGACTGTTTAATTATGATATAAATTTAGTGTTTCAAATGGTCATTTATTTACCCTAATGACTTCGGTAATCATTGAAGAATAAATTTCTAAATTCAGAGATTTTATTTTAACATCTAGTACCTCTAGCACCTCTGCGTCGGTGGCACAGTGATTAGGACTCTCGCCGACCATGCACACCGTCCGGGGTTCGATCCCCTGCCGACGCACACCCGATATCTATGGTCGGCCTGCAAAATTTGGGCTACCAATATCCATGCTGAAAATTCCATACTTGTACTGAAAATACGGTGTGGAATCAAACTGTAATAAAAAAAATAATAATAAATAAATCTTGAGCTTTTGTCGTTTAGAGAATACATTCAAATTGAACTGGTTAAGCTAGATTGGGAGGAATCTTACTTTATACATCAACCAATCTTCTTCTCTCATCTGAATGATGCCAGCAGTTAAGATCTCTAGTAGTTGCTAGTTCGACTGTTCGGTGATGACCTTGACAACTTAACCAACATCAGTAATTTCACCAGAGTCTGGTAGAGGACGTGTGATCAATTTTTTTGTAATACCATCAGTATTTGGTAGCCACTAATTTAATACCATGAGCAGTACGCTCAGTATATTCAGTTCCTCAGAAAAATGAAATAGTAGGCGAGAGTTGTTATCTCGCCCTTTTAATGCTTTATACTACCCTCGTCTTTGTTTTACAAACAATACGTCAGTAGTAGAGTCCTTTTTGCGTGGCATTTAGTCAGGTAAACGACAATGTCTGCTTTAAATAACAGCCTAAAATAAACCTGCTTGTTGAAGGCCGTGGCTTTTCCCAATCATCTCTTCATAAGACTTATTAGTAAACATTATGGGTACATCGCCTTCCTCTATTATTTCAACATCGCCTTTCAACAGTATATGCGTTAGGAGTTTCGGTCCGTGTTTGAATATGTGTTCAGAGATGGTTATTTCCAATCTGATAGGGAATGTCTTGACGAAAGTGCTGTCTATATCTTTCAGCTAACTGAAGTTCCCTCTGTACAGTCCGTCCGTCCAAGCCAACTAACGTTACCACTGTCATTTTCCGTAAGATTTATACTGAACGCCGAGAACTGAAGCTTTCCTGTAGAAAATCCCTCAATTAATGTAAGCACACTTTGGAATTCCTCACTATAGTATAGTTTAAGGCTGAAAAAGCCGGGTATGTAAAAACTAATCTTGTTGCAACTCCTCTTTTCTCAAAAGCAAAGTTCAGTAATGAACAATAAGCGAATGTTCCTAATGCATAAACCTCGTAATTTTAGAAAGAGAACTGTATTCACGCGACGTAGTTCTATGCCAGTGTGTAATGGTAACCTAACTTAAAAATTCTACAGAATCACTGGAAAAAGCGATCTAACCACCGAGAAATTTTCATACAGGCTTCCTTCATCAGTCTGACTCACTGAAGAATCCTACAAAAGTTTATGTTTTACACACCTTTTAGGCATAAAATCACTATGAGAAGGAAATGTTTTCCATTACTATTCATATTTTGTAGACTGTCAGTAATTGAAACAATGAAGATTCATAACTCAAGTTGATTGTTTTTATTATTGTTGTCTTCTCTGAGCTGATTGATTTGTTTGCGAAGCTTTCATTACACTCTAGACAAACTCTTCGGCATCAGCTTCACAATGAAGTTGTTGTTTAGATATTGCTTTGAGGGACAATAGACGCCTCTCAAACAAACTACCCAACTCAGATAATACAATAACACCAAAAATGGGGTATCAGTTAGTGATTACAGTTGAAAGATGAAATTCCAGTCCCAATAAATATTATACATTCATGTGGTAATCATTTGAAGCTACTTCTTATCACCTTGTTTTTCGAATACACACACAGAAAGTTTTAATTTATTCAACATAATAAATGTTCAGAGTTTGTTTTCAACCTTTAATTCTGATGCTTTGTGTTTTCCAGATGATGTATTCCACTCACTGAATATCAATAACCAATATTTCTCAAATGTAAAAGAAATCCGACCCAGTTTACAAGAATTACAAAATCCTCGTATGAGAGTTAGAACTATTAAAAATTGTATATCTCATTTATTCGTTCAAAGAACACTTTTATGCTTTTCAATCATTTTAAACAAACTACTAACTGCTAAACTAAACATTTAATGTTCAACTGTAGAGAAAAGGGAAAATAATTTTAAAAAAATTGATGAAATCAACATTCAAGTGAGAGGAAAACAATAAATACTGCGATCTGATGACTTCAGGTGTAACGAAACACTGAAGAAAAGAACAGTAAACATGACAGTGACCTTCTCGCTCCCTGCATTTTCACCTTTAACAAACAATTGATAACATTCGATTTTATTTTCTATTTTGTATTTTCTACTTGTGTACAATTTATGCGTCATTTTTCTTTGTATTTAATCAACTATGAGAAAGAGAGACAAGGAGCTTCAATACACTTTATCAAACTGCTGTTTCAAAATTCACTTTAACACTTTAATTTGTATAATCAAAAAGAATGACGCTGTCGTAGCACAACTTATTTTCTGATATACCAAGTAGTACAACGCGTGATTGATCAAATTCTAAGTTTACGTCTGTTGACAAGCTAAAAAAAGATGAATTGTTATGAAGATTAAAAAAATTGTCTCTGTGATTCCTATTCTCTTTTACATCATTTCTCTTTTTTCTCGTATGTAAATAAACTGTGATTTGTGGATGAAAAATATATATATAAAAACAAATTATTATTGACTGAATAATCAGAATCGTTTTATGTGATTAATGAGTTTATTATTATTATTTAGACTATCAACATTTGCAACGGAAAATTGTAGAAAATATATAAATGTGTACTCACCAGCCACGTACGTGCTCCTTGGTTCCATGCCCGGCCGACGCACTCCTCAACCTCTCTAAGCTGGTAGTGAGCCAGGTAAAGAGGGAGGTTAGTGCTTCCCCCTCCTGTAAAAAGTAAACACCACTGCTACTAAAACTTGACGGCTGAAGCTTAAAGCCCTACTGTCCACTTGGAACGCAAAGGATTAATATTAAAAAATCTATGGCTGTAATGTGCTTCCATTTAATGTACAGTATTCAACCAACTATTATAAACTGTTTAAAGTGTGTAAAAGTGGTTCCGTTTTATTTTTCTGCAAAACAACTTTTGTTTTTACATTGACCAACAGTAAGTGTATTTCCTGTCTTAAATTCTCCATCCTACAGCTGTAGCAATTAGTACTAAGTTACTCATATATGCACTTTGAATAAGCTAATCACTATTGATTTAACCAAAAGTAAACGAATGCGAACAGGATGATATGTTAGACACTAGCATCTGTGGGAAACCAACACATTCTAATAAATACTTAGACTTTGATTCATCCCAGATAAAACCAGTACAAGTAGATTAAGCTAAGTGTTTATATATTCAAGCCAGGAACTTAACTAATGCATTGGAAGATTTAAATAATGAAATAAAACAAATAAAGGAAACATTAGTGGTGAATAACTACGCACCAGATTTTATTCCAAAATGCACTAGGACCCATTTGGAGAGTACGACTAGCATTGTTACCAAGGAAAATAATGAGTAATAAGGAATCTAAAGACACCATAGTACGTAGGATTCTTGATGAGGCTGGAACTAGGGTGACATTTACATCAACCAACTAACTCAGAGACAAACTTTGCCTGTTTGAGGACACAATACACCCAACTAGAAAATAATATAAATTATGTAATTTATCAAATACCATCTGAAGACTGTGAGGTCAATTACGTAGGTCACACTAGTACATTGGGTTTAGTTAGACTATTGGAATACAGGAATTTAGCCAGGATTAGAATGACCAACTACGTAGAGTACCCACGTGCATGCAATCACACAACCGGTTGGAACAGGGTGGAAGTATTTAAAAGGGATATAGTTCGATTGAGAGAGAGAGAGAGAGTAATAGCCGAATATTTTCTAATCAAACCAACACCAAACACATGCAGTTGAAATGCCAACACCTATTCTGGTAATATGGAAAATTGGAAAGAACAACTACGGCAACTGAAAAAATACACAAAGCCATGTGAATACACCGATATGATTATGAGCAACAAATTGTGCTCAAAGTGTCATCCATTTATCGATGCTGTATTACTGCGTGGTATACAATATACACTTGTCAAATATGGAACGAAATTAGACTAGTTCCTAAGGTTTTAAAAATATTTTAATCGTACCTAAATAAAATGGTCTTGAATTTTTGCAGTCGAAAATGCGTCGGTGGCACAGCAGTTAGGACGCTCGCCGACCATACACATGGTCTGGGGTTCGATCCCCGGCCAACGCACACCTGATATCAATGGTTGGCCTGCGAAAATTGGGCTACCGATATCACATGCTGAAAATTTCATACTTGTGTCAAAAATACGGTGTGGAGTCAAGCTATAATAAAAAAAATTTTAAAAATTAATCCAACGTATATTAAGGTGGGAGACAAAAGGTGAGACTTTTGAATTATACTTCGAAAAACATAGATTACATTTAGCAAAAGACCATATTCATCATAATACAAAATAAAACAACGACAGCTGGGAATAAATGAAAGACATTAGTTTCGTTGAAAATCAAATGTAAACGTGTTATTAAAAACAGATTCACCTTAAACGTCAGTAGATGATGGTATGAAGTCCTAACTGTTTGCTGTTCCTGAATAGAATATTCAGAAAATATTCCCTGATAAAACAACCTCTATAGTCCACTCAAAATAAGAAAAATTCTGGTGTGAAGGTAATGAATTTAGATTAGTATTCACTCGAAGTTCAATCAACTAGATAAACAAAATTTATGATTATTTAGAACTGTCCTGTTGATTAATTTTATTGGTCCGAAATGCATGGTCTCTGTTGACATATTGGCAGCTATTACAGACGCTTCGATGATGCATTAAGTCATTTAGTTGACCGTAGCTGGCGGTAGAATCCAGGACATATCGATAAAAGGCTGGATATTTCTTTACAATAAAATCAACCAAGGGTAAATTAAAATAATTATTTCAACAGTTGACAACTAATACCTGTTGTAGAGATGCTGACTTTTGTGGATTAATGGCCCACTGAATAACTCTTTGGCATTTTTAAAAACAAACGACATCATGTTTCAGTCTCAGTGAAGATAATATCACCCAAATGGGGATCGAGAGCTGTCAAGTTGATGTGTCCTTAAACAGAATGAAACTGGTGTTCTGAATTCCACTGCCAGTAATAATCAGACAAACACTTTTACGATTAGTTATCCCAATAGAGATTCAACTAAGGTTCTGATGAATTCATGTACAATGATCTTTTGAAGTTTTAAGTGCATAATTCTAGTTCTCTGATAAAAAGTGAATCTTATATCACTCATCTCTATTTAAGAAAACTCCTTATAGAAAGCTGTATTGGTTATTCATATGTTATTTGGTATATTTATCAAGTTAAAAATAATCCGACTCACATGCATTGGAAATAGGAAGTCTTAATTAATTACTACTGTTTATCTTCAAAATGACTGAAGAATCAGGTATTGTCTCAGGGACAATTATGTAATAGGTGTGACAATAACAACCCCGTCCCGTAAAAGCAATACCGCTGCTATCGAAATTTCAAAGCTTCAAACCCTATGTTCCACTCGGAAAGCAAAGGAATTAAAAAAAGTGCAACAAACATATTCGCATGGACACTACAACAGACATGCTGAAAAAGCGCAATAAATCATAAGCACAGTACAGTCAGTACTTTAATGCGACATTAAATATCTTCAGTTAGTCAATTTTTCAGAACGCCTGTTATCTACTCGATTTATCCAAATAAGCAAGCTCAAAAATAAAAATGATTATAGAAAGTTAGTAGAATCATCAAATTTACTTCCTGACTTTTAAAATTTACCAAACCCCACTTCAGAGTCACCAGCAGCACGTCATCAAGTCGATAATGTAGCAGATTCCATATTATTTTTCCTTTGATTTACACGTAGTTCTTATAAGACAATTTAATAAAGCCAAAAAAGGCAAGTGAAGAAAAGAAGGATTTTTTGATGCAGCCATTTCCTAATCTTTAAAGTAGAGCATGTCTATTCGAAAGGATAGAGTACTTCAAAATTACTTCTGATTCCGGAGATAATTCAATTGAATTACAAAAAGTTAGAAATAGAAAATTTAACGAATACCAAGGGAAGAATTCGAAGACAAAATTAGTCAGAAATAACCATTAAAGCTTCATTTTATTTAATTCCATGATAAAGATTTACGTACTCATACACAAATATTCTACTGGGCAACAACACTAAAGCGCTTTCTTATTATAAATCTTTTTGTTATAAGTAACCTCTAAATGTCACTCAGTACCTGAGAAAAAGCTGTGGAAGATCCTAGCGCTTTTAGTGTATCCATCAGTGTGCAGTTTGCTAGATGATTTTGTCTAAAATATCTCTTTTCCCACTGCAGATAACTACTCTCTTTTGGGACTTCTTGGTGGCAAGAACTCACTAAGGTTCGAACTCAGGACATTCGGGTTACAAGGTAGGCTAGTAAATGTTCCAGTCATTGGGATCCGATCCGACGTCCATATGTTACAACTTTTGCCGATTCGCGATATATATAGCTCAACTGTCAGCTAATGGTATAGACGAGTAACTGTTTTCTTGCCTAACTTGGTGGATCACTTGGATAAAAAATTCTCACTCAAACTGCAGGTAACTGGAAGGGCCTAGGTTCCAACCACTCTGGATTCCAACTGATGAAGAGTCTCGAATAGCTATCCAGTACTGCTTGGTTTTGCAATGGTTCTCCAAACTGACACCAAGTCGAAATCAAACCTGTAGCCAATAGAATCCCTGAAAATCAACGCCTGACAAATAATCGTTTTCATGAACAACGGTGTACTTCACTTTTCGAGTAAAGTCCCTTATCCAAATAAACACTTACTCAACAATACGATAACTTATCATCTATTCGGTGTTGGACATGAATTAATATGACATTGAAAAATCGGCCAGGGCAACTTATATTTTTATAGTGTTTTGCGCCATGCGAGCGAAACCTCATTCGTAAAGAGATAGATATATGACTCCCTCCATTAGGGTTACTAGTATTCTGAAACCATTTTATTACCCATCATTATTTCACACA